TTTTTTTTTTTCCCCTCCATTCGATTAAAGAATGAGCTCTAGACTGCAAAACCTCGAGAGCTTTTCTGCCCCTGGGCAGGGAGGGAGCCCTTCCCCGCAGCTCCGGGGGTGCTTGGACGAGCCAGGCTGTGTCCAGGTGGAATTTGGGAGAGCTGGGGCCTCCCTGGTGTCTTTCTTCTAGGCAGACCAAAGATAAAGGAATTCTCACTGCTGGAATTGGGGCTCCTTCCCCAAAGCTTTACTCGAGCCCTGGGGGCACTTTGGAGACTTCATGTGGCAAGTGGGAACTGCAGGAATCCGTGGATTTGTTCACCCTGGAGGTTTGGGGAAGGGGAGGAGGAGGAGGAATGCGTCGGCCGGAGAGGAGGGGAGCGCTCCCGGATCCGTTTGCGTTTATTTCCGTCAGCCTCCGTTGGGATTTTGCCTTTCCGGGAGGGTTTTTCCTCACCTGGAATTCTCTGCTCCCCGCCCTGCCTCAGTGTCCCCTCCTGTCCCCTCCCTGCTGCCACCACCCCACGGAGACGCCGCAGGGAGGAGGAACAGCCCCGGCCGGACTCTGGCACAAACTCCTCGGCCAAAATTGTAAAATTCCGCGTTTTTGGGAGCCCCGGGAATGTCGGGAGCAGGTCCTGAGCTGCGGGTGGCACGCAGGGGTGGCAGAGGTGGCAGAGGTTGGGGCAGCAGGAGCTTCGCTGGGGACACAAAAATGGAACATTTCGTCCTCCCCCGCCTCCCACCCCACCAGTTTGGATCCTGCTGGAGCTGGGAGAAATTCCCAGCCGGGATCCTCATCCCGAGGGGCGGCAGGAGCCCAAATCCCCGGGACGATTCCAGCCCAAATCCCCGGAGGATTCCAGCCCAAATCCCCGGAGGATTCCAGCCCAAATCCCCGGAGGATTCCAGCCCAAATCCCCAGAGGATTCCAGCCCAAATCCCCGGGACGATTCCAGCCCAAATCCCTGGAGGATTCCAGCCCAAATCCCTGGAGGATTCCAGCCCAAAGCCCTGGGAGGATTCCAGCCCAAATCCCTGGGACGATTCCAGCCCAAATCCCTGGAGGATTCCAGCCCAAATCCCCGGAGGATTCCAGCCCAAATCCCCCTGGATGATTCCAGCCCAAATCCCCGGAGGATTCCAGCCCAAATCCCCCTGGATGATTCCAGCCCAAATCCCCGGAGGATTCCAGCCCAAATCCCCGGGACGATTCCAGCCCAAATCCCCAGAAGATTCCAGCCCAAATCCCTGGAGGATTCCAGCCTAAATCCCCGGGATGATTCCAGCCCAAATCCCCGGGACGATTCCAGCCCAAATCCCTGGAGGATTCCAGCCCAAATCCCCGGGACGATTCCAGCCCAAATCCCCGGAGGATTCCAGCCCAAATCCCCCGGAGGATTCCAGCCCAAATCCCCCGGAGGATTCCAGCCCAAATCCCTGGGACGATTCCAGCCCAAATCCCCCGGAGGATTCCAGCCCAAATCCCCGGGACGATTCCAGCCCAAATCCCCCGGAGGATTCCAGCCCAAATCCCCGGGACGATTCCAGCCCAAATCCCCGGGACGATTCCAGCCCAAATCCCCCAGAGGATTCCAGCCCAAATCCCCCGGGATTGCAGCAGCAGGAACGGGGAATGGGGAATTTCTGAGGTGAAAAGTGGGGAATTTCCTTGGTGAGAAATGGGAATTTCTGAGGTGGAAAACGGGGAATTTCCTTGCTGAGAAATGGGAATTTCTGAGCTGGAAAATGGGGAATTTCCATGCTGGGAAACGGGGAATTTTCCCCAAAATCTCGGGAATTGTTTCCCCTTGCTCCACGCCGGGGCTGGTTTGGATTTAACCCTTGAGGGGAGGCGGAGCTGCCACTCCCGCAGGGATCGGTGCCACCTCCTCGCTGTCACCTTTGTCACCCCCGGGGCGGGGCTGGGCAGCTTTTCCAGCTTTTCCAGCTTTTCCAGCTTTTCCAGGAATGGGAATTGCCCGTCCCTTCCCGGTGACAATCCTCCAGCGCTGCCCTGGGCAGAGGCGTTTTAGGAAGGGATTTTTGGAGACTGGAATGGAGCTGAGAA